ATTTTTCTGTATAATATCTTGCTTCATGTTTTTACTTGTAGTCCAGTTAAATAGTCTATACCTTAGATTATCATTTCTGTTTGTGAATAAAATGTAATTATATCTAACTGATCTCTCAAAAAAGACGACAAATACCAGAGGTTATTCACACAATATCTACCTGAATTTAAGAGCCTAATTAGCACATTTTAATTTAGATAAAAATGAATTAATTTACAATATGAGAACTGTGCATGCAGTAATTACCATAAAATAAGGAACCCTGATTGTTAACGCAAAACAAATACTTCTTTCTAATATTGCCAACCCGTGTGTTCTGACTTCTTGTGAATGAGTCACCGGCAGAGCAGAGTCCTCCAAGCTTGTTGCTGCTGATCAGAGGATGCTGGCTGCGGGGGGTGGATTTGTACTGTACATGCACACTAGAAACAAGCGTTTAGCAGTGTGAGTCAGCCTCCAGCCGTCTCCCTCAGCCAATCTGCTTCTTGGCTCGCTCTCCATTTCAGTAAGACGCCTTTGAAGAAAAAAACAAAAAAAACAATCTGCTGACTCTCCCAGGTGGATTCAGACTCTGCCGCAGTGAGAACAGTGGCTGTGATCACACTGGAGGTTTCACATAAGCCCTGGGCATCTTGACATCAAAAGTGGTTTAATATTCTCTTTTTAATCAATTTGTTATTCCGTCTATTGTGATTTTGGGCCTAGCACAGCTAAAATGTGACACCATATTGTACATTTTACTATAACAGCTTGTGTTATCTGTGATTCCAGCCTCCTTGCATCATCGTCTGACTTATTCAGCCTTTAATAATATTTTAACTCAAGGGGAAACGGTCTTTCTTTCCTGTTTGAATGTTACCAGTAGTTGCAGCCTGGGTCAGCTCTACCATTGACTGAAGAGCTGAATATTTTATAAGTAATTAGAGCTGCTTGGTTTGTGACTCTTCACTTACACTGACTAAGAAAACCTCAGTGGTGATGTGTGTACGGAGTGATGCAATTCCTTTTAAACTGTTAAGATTTCATCTCA